GGTCAGGTCACTTTTTTGACCTTCCCATTACAAGTCAACGGGAGGAAATTCAAAACCGCCTCTTTTAAACGAAAGTCATTGTAACCACTCTCAAATACTGAATCACAAGTAAATTTTGCACACAACATGCAAATGGCACCGGTGACCCCTATTTATGCCCCTGAGGTCATCACAGGTCACGAATGGTATCTAACAGTTTTTCGCGAATAACTTTTAGTAGAGGCATGCTAGAGCGATGACAATGTCATGTGTTCAGCTCAACGATACGGATCCACTATATGCAACATGACAATTTCCGGTCAGGTCAAATTTTTCAAAAAAATCCGGTCAGGATGACCTTGACCTTGACCTGAGGTCAAATTTTTGAGTTGACCTCTCAAGGTCAAATTATTGTTCATTCGTTGCGTCTTGACGAGAGGAACACGATGCCGGTAAAAGAAAACTCGTGCAAGTCTTGAGTCAAAAGTTTTTGCAGAAAAGCTGTTTTAAAAAATGGTCTATTTTGGCAGTTTTTGCCTCCCTGCAGGCAAAGCCGTTGACTTTAGGTCAAATCTGAGGGAATTGCTCAGAAAGAGCGGTAAGGGGGCTATCAAGTGCGCTTTTCCGCGGCGCTCTAACTATCATTATTTTCTATCGTCATTATTTGTACGCTCTTTCGAACGCCGCCTTCCGCGTATCGCTACGTGGCCCAGGAGCCGAGTTAGAAGGGGGGGGGGGGTGTTCAAACACCACCAGCAGGGCGTGGAAATCCAGGACCCTCAGCGGGGCGCGGGTTAAGGTGTTGTATGTAAATATCTGGCGTATCTTCCAAAACTGTTATTTAATTAATTTTGTTAGTGCGTGCTGTTAGTCAGTGACTGCGGAACACCTTCAATTAAGGGGGGGGGGGCACTGCCGACTTTGGTCCCATTCTTTCCAAGCAACGCCCATAGGGCTAATGTTAAAATGCCAAAATCAAAGGGGGAACGGTGCCCCGGTGCCCCCCCCCCCTCCCCCCGTTCCGCCGCCTATGCTGTTAGTGTAGCAAGGTTTCTTGGGTATTTCTATTAAACACCATTTACAATTGATACAATTGATACAATTGGTATACTCCATACAATTGATATGTAAAAATGTAATAGCAATGATCGATTAAAAATACCTTTAAAGCCATGTTTGTCCCACCCCCTAGCTACAGCCCCTAGTATAAACGGCCAGACTTTTTTAACTCCTTTCTTCTTGTAGAGCAAAAAGAGGGCTATGGACCGAGCTTAAATTTTGAAAATAATTCAATCGGTTATTGGGTATCGCGGAATCTCCGGAGTCCGGGGAGGGGTGGATGAGGCCAAGCCAAGGCGATAAATACCAGGTGGCGTCATTTGAAATTATGTGCAGGCAAGCTGACGTCACTGTGTGAACACTGGCAAGGATGAAAATCATTCAAGAAATAATATTAGTCATTAAAATTATATTTTCATAGTTCAAGTGTTCTTCAATCTTTAAAAAAATCCTAAAACAGGTATATTTATTCAAGCCGTTTCCTCAGCAAATGTTCATATTATATCCTATTTGCACGATTATACGTCATCAAACCCGAACAAGTTACAGGTATTCTGTTGACTACAGGGTGTAACGAAATTATCCGGACATCTATTTTTTCGCCATATCTGTTCGCACAGTTTCTTTTCTGGTGTTAGAAGCGGGAATATTGGATGAATGCGTACCTCTGGTATCTGCTTTCAATTCAGCAGTGTTCTGATCTTGCAAAGTGACTCTTTCTGTGAGTAAGAGCCGAGTCACCGACGGGTTCATTTGATAGTTTTCGTTTAAGGCAATGGAGAGAAGGGAGTACAGTCTCTCGTTTCGTAGTAAGGCTACGTGTTGGTGGCATGGCGGCATGAGCCCGAAGCTGATCTGCCTGGACATCAGCAGCAGCCAGTTGCACATATGCCTGGTGCGTGATAAGCTGCAGGGACTTGGGTGGCGACCCACCCTTAAAAAAGAAAAAACTCAGATTGTCTTGCTTCTTAATAACGGCGCAAAGAAAGATGCCCGGATAATTTCGTTACACCCTGTATGGCCTGGATGATAAGGACCTCACGTTCCCAATGAAGGATTATCGAGGAGCTGCCACTAATAAGATTTAAGGAAATATACCACCTTTAACATGGGAATCTGAACTGAAATTAAAGTTTTGTGGCTTGAGCTGAGACTAACACTAATCAGGATCTTTTACGGCCAAACGATCACCCTTAGGCAAAGATATTCCATTTACCCTCGACCAAAGATGGAAACTAGTTCTTCCTATAGGTATGGAAATAAATTTTTAAATTTTTTTTTGTAAATATTCATTATTTTCTTTTCAAAGTTATCTAATCATTTTAATCATAGGTAAACAAATCACAAAATTGCAGTAAAAAAACTAATTAAGGGAAATATAGCATATTCCCTTTTAGGAATATGCGTGCTAAAACAATTTAACCTATTTAATGCTTATGTAACGAAATGGAGAGTGTATCATGCGGAGTACTACGTGTCCTCTTTCCTTACCCTGTCCACTTTCTAGCAGGCTTGTATCATTTCTTCCTTCGTCCTCTACCTCAGGTGCGGCATTGCTGCTATCATTTTGGCGATCTTGGTCGTCGATAGATTCGGCCATGCCTGCCAATAACAATCACACTTAGTTTACATAGAAAACTAAGTAACCTCATTCCCACATACAGGGTGTCCCATAAGTTCCTTCTCACCTAAATTTTTCTTTTAGAGGCTCTCTTATTTAAAGCCACGCTTAATTTATTTTGTAACTGAGCTTTTGGGGTTGTCATGGGCGACTCATGGCAACTGTGAATATGCTCCACGGTAGCTAATTCGTCTAGACAAAATATTTTTTGCTAGAGAGTTCACTTCCTTTGGAGACGGCTTACGCCGCAACATAGAGGTCTCCGATACGGGTACGTCTCGGTATTTAGTCCGCACGTGGGCCATTCGCGACGGTTGAGGGTGATTGCGGCCATCCAGTCTGTAGCCAATGTCTGTCGCTAACTGGACGCACAGTCAGCAAGTGACGCCGATGATTTGTCGGGAGTCAATCGCTGCAAGTTCATGCTCTTTTTTGTCAGCTCTCAGGAGTGAGCCATGTGGCCAAAACTGTGTGGCGCCAAAGTGGCCGTCAAAAAGGTCTTAGCGTTAGAAAGTTGGTAAGCAGGCTTTTCAGGATGGATTACCAGCTTTCTAAGAGTATTATTTCGGGGTACATAACTCACGGTCACTTGGGCTTAACCCGGCAGGCGGTGGGCCTCCCGGCCACCTTCCGCGCGGTGGGGCATTTTTTGCCCCCCCCCCCCGTATCTCCGAAACTACTGGACGGATTCGGAAAATTCAAACGGCGTTCGATAGCCCTGTCAAATTTGTTTAGGGAAACCAAATTTTATTGACCTCGGAGTCACCGATGACGTCACAGGTCAGGTCAAAGATAAAATGTTTCACCGTTCACGGGGCTTCTAGGGAAAGCGCAATAACACCGAGTAAAACGCATTTTGTCGAAAATCAGCGATAGGGCGTCAGTTGTCTAGTACATATGTTGCTATTTGAGGTCACTGGTCATGCCAGGTCAGGTCACCAAAGGTCACCAAGAGTCACCACATGAACACAACTTTACTAAGGTTGTGCGTGCATGTTTTATGGCCAGTTTTTCATTTCCAACTCAATGCATCTCGGTGCATCTGCCCCCACAAAGAGATATAAAATTACACCCCTTTCATTGGCCATACCATCGTGAAGGTCTCACAGTCAGTGGTTGTTGAGTGCTCTCTCACAAATACATTCGCAGCGTTTGTAGTTTTCTTTCAAATAAACATTTTTTTTTAAAGTTCACAACATTAAAACAATGCGGGATGTCGTGGAAATGGTCATGCAATAGTTAGGTTTGTAGGCATATCCCTATATTGTAGTTCGCCTGGGATTTTTGAATTGTGACAATTGTGGTGCGTATTAGACACTCGTTTTGTTACTTACTTTCAAGCAGTATGATCTCGATGTTCAGCGTACACAACAGCTATGGCGCCAAAATTCACGAAAACTCGTGAGCACGGGCGGGAAAATTGTCTTTTATCACGGAAAAAGCTGACAACGTGGCCAGGGTGGGCGAACGAGGGCGCTACCTGCCGGCTTGTGGGCCGGGGCGGCGACTCGGCCTTGTTTCTGCGCGCCTTCGTATCGGGCCTCGTTGATTGGATGCTAGGGCGCCGAGATGACGTCACATTGTTTCGTCATGCATGTGATTCATGCACTGGCTGCACTGGACCGGCGACAGGGGTGCGTCCGTAGCGATGGCCTTGGCAGTGGCTGTCAACAACATACATGTACCCTCCGAGGGCACGAGCCGAAGGCCAAACATTTTTGTAGAGCCGTCGCTGCATTTCATTATTTGCACAATCACGCTTATAAGTCGTTTATGAAACCGTTATCGGAATAGGCAGCATAATCGCGCCATGAAATGATTCATCATTCATGCCTTGATTGTAGGACGTAAGTTACTCACGTCGCGGTCGGAGTCGAATCCCACAACACATCCCATGAAAAAACAGTCGCTTTGCTACCCGATCTTTTACCATCTTATCGTGATTTTTTCGCCACGCCCTCCCGATATCTTCATTCGGGGGCGTGCAGGCCAGAACCTTCTGATGGAAGAGGCACATTGGACCCGATGGCTCCTCATTGCAGACGGCCCCTGTGCACACGCTCCGTTTTCAACGATCTTAGAACCTGGGAAAAGTGGAAAATTGGTAGGTACAATTTACAAATACATATCACGGCTTTGCCTGAGGAGTGTGCATACAATGCTTGACATTTTACGAGTGGACTTCTTTACATAGGTGCAGGGCTAGATATTTGTAAATTGTATATGTGGAAGCGGAAGAGAGCGTCATCCGCAGGGCCTTTAGTGTCATTGTCAAGGGTTGGAAAATTGCATTTGGGTGAAGTTTCTGCCGGCGGAGTGACGGCAGCGTTTGTGGCGGCAGGCTGACGCACGCCGGCAGCGGCCGGCGGCTGACTGTGTTCACCGACCAGCCGGCTCTGGTGGTCTACACGGCCAACCACCTTCCGGCGGCACCGGGCGGCCTGCCGGGCAGGGGTGGCGCCCGCTACCAGCGCCACGGCAGCATCGCGCTCGAAACCAGCGCCTTCCCCAACGCCGTCAACGTGGTGAGTGCACCGGACATGGGTCCGGGCGGCTGCAGCCACTGGCGGATCCAGAAGGGCGGTCCGGGGGGCAGGCCTCCAATAGAAATTATCCTAAATCGATAAGCTCCTCGTTTTACAATCTCTTAAGCAGCTTAAGCAAAAAACTTTCGTCAATTTTGGGCGCCGGGGGAGGAGGACATTTGCCCCAAATGCCCCCATCCCCTGGATCCATCAGTGGCTGGAGCTGGGTCCGGGAGTCGGCGGCTGGGACCGGGAGGCTGGAGCTGGGACCGGCGCCGGCTCTGCAATAGAGCGCCAGAAAGCATGACTGTGCACGTGCAGCGGTGGGTCGTGTTTTTTTCGGAGATTGACTTAGTAATAATAAGATTCCATGTTTCCCATTTTGCCAAGTAGTTTCACCGAGACTGTGACTGTTTTTCAGCCATCATTTCCATCGGTGACGCTGCGTCCCGGCAATGTTTACGAGCATCGCTGTGTGTACCAGTTCGGTATCGGGGCCCGGTGAGCTGCAGCAGTCGGACTGTCCGCCTCGGGGCATAGTGGGGTCACCGAGCGCAGTCGACAGCCTGGTGACTGGTGTCCGGGGCACATTTACCGACTATTCTGTGACCAATGGGGCAGTTGAGGTGTCGAACAGCTGTCATTGTCGAGCAGCACCCGTAGTTGGAAACTGACGAGCAGCTAGTGCAAAAGTGAACTCAACCTTGCATGTAAACGGATTACGTGTGTAGCTGATGGTTAAACTTTTTAAGACTTGGCTACTTAATCACATACGAGTAGTTGGTCTTACAATAAGCGTTGCTCCTCGGTACAACTTGTGAACTGATTGAAATACATGGTTTGCATTTATGATGATTGTGGTGTTTTATTTGTAGCTACTAGCTATGTACACCTATATTTGCTATGTTTCAAGTCAGTTATTAGCACATGCCAAGTTTAAGGATTCAACAACAAGGATGGTGACTACGTTAATAGCCACATTAACTGATTTCCACATGTAAATGTTATGTAATTTATTTTACATTTCAGTTCAGCTCAAATTTATAAAGAAACTATCATCTCAAATATGAACGATTGTGCAAAGCTTTCATTGATGTCACATGCTCATCTTTGTAAACTCTTCAAGGAGAAATTGCCACCTATCATTGACCCGCTGTCAAAACCGATGGACATGAAATATCTAAAGCTAGAAAAAACTGGCTAGGTGAATTATGCAGCACGCGTTTCTTACCGTTTTCAGTTGAAGTCACTCGTGTTATTCTGTTCAGGATTCCCCGTTTCTTTGCTTGAACGGTCATTGCCGCGCTCCGAACGGAACTATCAATAACGACCGCTAGGATGCGCTAGTTTTCATCACTGTGAGCTCATACAGGCCTACAGGGCAGACCGGTAGTGCGGCCTGGTCGGCGACGACCGGCTGGCGGCCACTGAGTGCTGCCATCTTACATGGTGCATATGCTGCCATCTTCAACCATATTAGCATAGTGCATATGCTGCCATCGTCAAACAGCTCTGGGTAATGTTGCCATCTACCCAAACGGCACAATGCACATCGCATGGGGCCGGGCACACTGCACTGAGCCACTAAAGAGGAAACTAAATAACGCTTTATATTTCTTAAAAAACTTGTCAACAAGATGACTTTTGGATAATGTTTTATATTTAGTACCTATGTGCATAAGGTATATGTGTACATACAATTTTATGCATGTAATAAAAACCGCTCTCATCAGCGGCTCCCGTATTGGATTTGATCTCTCACCGACAAAATGTCGACACCTCTGACCCGCACTCCGACCGACTGGCGACACGCGGGCGATTGATTGCCCCCGCGGGGCGGTTCTGATTCACACCGAATCAACGGGGAAATTCGGAAGCGATGGAAGCGCTCGTAAGCGACTTTACGTCGGGATGAAGTGAGAAACTGAAGGTAGTGGCTGAATGGTGAAATTCCCCCGGGGCCGATCTCGGGGGGTCACAGGTCACATGTCCGTCCCGGTGTGAGGGATTGATCAGCACAGGGACGCGGATTGATCGACAGGGAGCGACACGAATTCCGACCCGTCTAGCTTGGTATAGGACTTAGCTGAACCTTTGGTGATCTAGCTGATTTATAACATTAGTGCTCAGATGTTTGTCAGTGCCAATTGGGCTATATCGATAAAGCTAAAAGTAAAATAAGTTGCTCTTTACATAGCGCTCGAAGTCCTTTCCTTCAAATAAGTATTTTGATCATTAAGAAACGTATCGTGTGTGAGGAAAAACTGACTCCCTCGAGGGTCGGCACTGAGCAAAATTGAACCAAATTCCGGTACCAGCGAATGGGTATTCGGGTGCACATTTTGCCAACTGTATTTGTTTTGTTTGACGGCTAGGCTGTCCCGGTTTGACAAGACCATTTCGGGATAGACGTGATGGGATAAGGGGAAGACAGTGGACTGATAGGACAACAATACCGGATAGAGAGCTGTCAAGGCTGAGTCTGTCGGTCCAGTAAGACGAGCAATAAGCAGCCTTGCCGTTCGAACGGTGACGACCGCGACGGTTAGGTATCGCTTATGTTCTTGGAGTCTGCTCTTGGATGGACTAGTTGCCGATGGAAGTAACCCTGTCTAGGACTGGGGTGGGCAAGCATTGATCAGTGAAGCGCATTGGTGAGTTTTGAGGACTGTTAAAGTCGGATGATTTTCTGCTGCTGTGAAGGCCTTTCTTCCGGTCCACGGTCCTCCGCCGGCTGCGGCGTTAGTTGCGGCGGCGGCCGCCAGGTGGCAGGCTCAGTACGGTGCCTCGGGCGGCCGTCAGTGTCACACGGCCGGTCACCGGCGCCGGGCGGAGTCGGGATGGGCGGCTGGTTACCGGCGCTGGTGCTGGTGCCGGGGCTGGTGCTGGTGATCGTGCCGCTTCCTAGCCTACAGCTGCGGCCCGGCCGAAGTCTTGGCCGCTCCCACGATCTCGGTACCAACGTCTCCGACGTCCTCAACAATCTGATGAGCGAGGACAAGTACGACAGGAGAATCCGACCCGGCTTTGGCGGTGAGTGCAGCGAGGGAGCTCGGCGCTGGGAAGATCACGAGGTCAGGAATGATCACGCGACTGGTCACGAGGTCAGGGAGACAAAGGCAAGCTACGATGGTAGGCGATGGCCAGTGATCACGGTGGTAGGTCACGATATGACCTGACATCGGACGATGACACCTACTGTGACCAGTGGGTCCTTTTGCGGACAGGTGGGCCCGGTATCCAGAGAGAAACCCGTGTCATAGGATCGCCTTGGGCTTCACAGGACCCTTGTCATACAGTCGCCCCTTGCTGAGGGATCAGCCCGTTAGTTGACGATGCCGTTTGATGTTCGCTACTTGGATTACTGTGCCGGACTCGCTGCTAAAATTGAACGGCATAATTCATTTCGCATGTCATCCGCCGATGCCATCGATGCGATATGTTCGTATAGTATACAATGAACATTTAAACGAAGATTATAATATCCAGGCACTCTTTCCAGGCCCCATCAGTAAAAATTAATGCATGGATGCATGGATGGAATGGATGGAATGGAATCAATGGATCAATGAATGGAATGGAGTCATGGATGGCATGAAATCAATGGATCCGACCATGCATATCTGTGACAAAATGTCATTCTAGCGGGCCAGGCTTCACAAACCTTGCTCTTGCAAAATTGCAACTCTTGCTTCGTTGCTATTTCCAATCGCTTCCATACTAAAATCACCAAAAGTTGCACGTTCTCTGATTAATGTAAGCCATCGAGCCCAATGATATGCAGTGGTTTCCCTTTCAATCTCGCCTGGCCATTCCGTTTATATCGGACGGTTACAATCGCGGTTGTCAGAGCGTTGCTGGTCTTCCAGCTCTGAGAAGGCCTGGTAGAGAGGAAAGGAGAATAGAAGGAAAGATCTTGGGAGAAAGGTGACAGACGGTGACCCTAGTCTACATAGAGACAAATCGACATCGCGCTCATGGTTTCAGAATCAGTTAATTATGCAGATTGTACGGGCAATATTCCTTTGTTTATGACAACTGTAATCGGTATGTATTAACTTCAAATATACCATAAAGAGAATATAAGTATAGTACCTATCGTTTTTAAGTGAAAAAGACCAGTGCATGGCAGTCGACATCTATTTGATGGTGACATAAAAACCGTTTTCAAGTTCGAAGTAAATAGTCTATCTGCCTGCCTTATATCGCTATTCTGACCTTCCATCGGTGGGTGCGTTTGTGCGAGCTCGTGCGTGAATGCGTGCTGATGCGTGTGTGCATGTGCGCGCGTGCTTGCGTGCGTGTCCTTTGCGTGCGTGACGGCTGGTCGGTAGGTGTAAGGTCGAATCAGCAGGGCTCACCGCTGCCGGGTGTTGTATCGGTGGTTGAGCGGATCAGCGCTGACGCTGAGCGCGGCGAAAAAAGAACCACCGCTCAGCTCAGCTCAGCTCAGCTCAGCTCAGAGAGAGAGAGAGAGAGAGAGAGAGAGAGAGAGAGAGAGAGAGAGAGAGAGAGAGAGAGAGAGAGAGAGAGAGAGAGAGAGAGAGAGAGAGAGAGAGAGAGCGAGAGAGGGAGCTGGAGAGATGGAGAGATGGAGAGATGGAGAGAGGAAAGAGAGGGAGTGAGGGAGGGAGGGAGGGAACGAGAAATAGAAAGAGAAAGAGAGAGAGGCTTGATAGGGAGAGAGAAGGGAAGAGAGATAGAGGGAGAGAGAGAGAGAGAGAAAGAGAGAGAGAGAGGGAGAGAGAGAGAGAGAGAGAGAGAGAGAGAGAGAGAGAGAGAGAGAGAGAGAGAGAGAGAGAGAGAGAGAGAGAGAGAGAGAGAGAGAGAGAGAGAGAGAGAGAGAGAGAGAGAGAGCTATCACGTCCAACTCCTCGTCTCCTTTGCCATTTGTCGCCAGTCTCATCATATGTAACACTGTCCCAGTGTCCATCTACGTAGTCTCCTCCTCGCCTCTAGCACTGGCCTCCCCCCCCCTGTCTAGCAAAGTTTCCCTGCCTCTATGCTCCCATATAATCTCCCCAGTCCCCCGATCTGGTGACAGCGGTACAGCCGATTCACTCGGAGCCGCCATGGCCCACGACTCTTGGCATTACCTGCCAGATCGCATTGTTTGCAGCTCAGATATTGGACCGTGACGGCGACGGCGACGGCGAATATTGGCCTTATGACACCGTCTCGCCGTATCACCAGGCTCTTTGAGCTTTGCCGAGTCTAATCCACAGTGGTCCGGATATTATTACATAGATCATGGGCTATGAAGCCGAGGACCCAGTAAAGCTGTTCACTCAGGACGCCGTAATATTGGACGTGCATTTATGGGTCATGGGTCTGCGTCTATGTATGCGTCTACTTGATTTCACCTTTTGAAAACTACTTTGCTTCCCTTTGAAAACTGTTAGTTTTATTGATCAGGAGCGTTTGATTGCGCCTCCTTTGAACTACATAGCAGTAGTATTGCAACAAGCCTCATCCCACACGTTCCAATAATGCAGCGTTATTGAGACTGTTACTGCGTCACACAGGGATGAAGGATATTTGATCGTTTTTTTTTTCGTATTAGTCGACTTCAAAGCCGTTTCAGCTGCTGTCCACAGATCCCGGACAAGACCGCCAGCAGGACATCACAGGCTGACGCGCATTAGACGCGATACTGTCCACACTGTTGTGCAGGCTAAAAATTGTGTTCTGACTGACCTGACTTCAGAGGCGGATCCAGCTCAGAGTTTGGGGGGGGGGGGGAACCATAACAATTTATCGATTCTTTCCATGCATCGCCCATAGGCGTAATGTTAAAACTATGCCGTTTGGGGGGCAAATGCCCATTTTGCCCCCCCCCCCCCTGGATCCGCCAC